GGATTTGAATGTAAGAGGTTAGGTTCAAGTGGATGATATTTGTTCTTTGTTTTAATGGATTGTTCTTCTCAAATTACATAGAGGAATTCAATTTGGGATCATGAGTTTTTATTCTTCTCCTTTTTTGAGTTTTTCACACGTAAATGTAGTATTATCTCTTTGTTATTCTCTTTATTAGTTTAAAATTTATCATTAAACTTATATTAAATTATTTACAAATTTTATAAATTTTAATTCATGTCCTATTTGCTAAAGTGATTGAAGATAGTTTATTTCTTATCTTATTACTTAGGAGAATATTTGTCTATGATATGTAGGAGGACGCGATTAAAATAATTAAGAGAAAGATTTAGATTGATTAACCATTTTACCCCATTTTTAAAATTAATTTATTATGTTGTTCCTTTTCCTAAACTATATAACAATTGCCCCTCTTCTTAAATTATATACCAAATTGTTCATATTTGACCAAACCATGGTCCTTAATTAGTCACCTATTCAAGTAAATGAGTTATTTACTTGAGTAAGCGTGGATCAAACTTTAATTGAATAAGAACATATTAATATATAATTTAAAAAAGAGATAAATAACCCTCAAGGGTAGCTCAGTTGGCAGCTGAGCTCCCAAGGGATCCCTTGGTGCAGGGATCAAACCCTGTCTCAAGCAGTCTCTTGGAAAATCTTAGTGCACCCACTCTTACAATGAGGGGCTAGCCCAAACGGGCAAAATGTGTTATAATTTATTGAGAATTAATATTTAATTAATAAATGCGACCCAATAGTTCCCAATAAAATATAACTAATTAATTTCCAATAAATCGTTAGATTGACGAAAATCAGTGGTGATTAAGTTAGTTGTAAAGATTATAATTTTTTTTGGTGGTAATTTCTAAGGATGAAAGAAAATATTCAAAAGTGGTAATTTTACAATTTATAAAATATTAAATGCGTATTTCTTTTTAGTCTTTTTTCCATTTTTTTCTCATATATTATAATTTATTTATTTTTTTAAAAAAGAAAAGAATAAAAGCCCGGGTTTACGTTTGTCCGTACCATACATGAACAGACTCTGTCCAAACGATGATCATCACTCTGTTCCTTCTTATTCTAATAATAATTATAATAATATGAGAACTCATAACGCTTTATGGGGCCACAAAACCCAACTTTAATGCTCTGAATCTATGTCCGTTCTCCATCTATTTATTTCACTCGTGTGTCACTCTCTTTCGCTGTCTGTGTCGGCAAACACTTCACTCACCCTTCGCAAATAGCCCATGGCGGAGCGTCCTCCGCCACCGCCACCGCCACTGCCGGCGGACAGGGGCAATGGTGCAAAAATATGGATTCCGAAATCGAAACCAAAATCAAACCCAAAGGTTGGTTACTTTCTGTTTACATTACAAGTTACAAACACAACTGGACAGTGAGTACTGAGCTAGCTTAATTATTGCTTATTTTCTGGGTATTTAATTTCTCATTTGAATCGCAGGGTTCCATCCCAATTCCAACTCTTGCAGCAGGAGCAGGGTACGGATGGATGAACCCTCCACCAAAGTCGCCATTTGCAACTGGTTATGGACCTTATGGTGCCGGGGCATGCTTCGCTGGAGTTGGACCTTACGGTTATGGTTACCAGCATGTTGGACCAGCTCTACCTCAATTCCTACCTCAGCCGCCGCAGGTGAATTGTTTTGTTTGTTCTGCTAAATGCCAATCCTGATTTGTCCTATTCAGCTTCAGGGTGACTTTTTGCATGTGTTTCGTTTTTTCCGTTTCAGTTTGTGCTTTATTTAGTTATTAATGAAATGTATGTTTCTATCAGAGATACTTACATTGCTATTGGTTGGGATTTTTGTAGGTTAATGTGAATGGGTTTGTGGAAAACAGAGATATGGAGATGGGTTTGGTGCAGGCCCAGACCATTGTACCTGCCATTGTCAGACGTGGGACTGGCGTGTTTCATCCTCCTCGTCCCTCGGTTTCAATTCCATACAACAACAAAACCAACAAGACCATAGGTCAGTTATGTTAATAAAAATTAAAACTAGTCATGCAAAAACTACACTAGATTTTCAAGAATTTTTAACCAAATCACTAGATTTTAAATCAAGCTTGAATACCAACTCTGTTTCCAAATGAATTAACCAATGATAGAACTCATACCTATCAATTTAAATTAAACGAGAAATAGTTGTAGTTGATAAATAACTTGATTTATCATACTCTGTATTAATTAGTACTGACTTTTAGACAATTATAATGACTTGGTTTGTTGCATCATTTTAGATTACTACATTAATTACGAAAACTTTTGCAACACTTTTCTTATGTTTGACATGATATCGGGTGAAGTTTACCCTACTGAATACTAGGAGTGTATAACTGTACAGAAAAATACTACTTGCAGACCGATATAATGTCCTAGTTTAAATGTCAAATTATACAAAAGTGTTTAAAAAAATTAATAGTTTATCAAAGAAGGTACATTATATTTACAAATTTTTTGCTTGTAAATTCTTACAAACTACACTATGTACTATGAGTGGTATATATCCGTAATACATAATGTAGTTTGTAAACAGAAAATTTGTAAATATAATCTTTCTCTATAAAAAAACATGTGAGAAATACATAAATATAAGTATTTTTTAATTTAACGACAATGACAAACTTTTTTTTTTTTGTTTATCTCAATATATTCCTTTCCGTAGTTGTATTTTTTTTTGGCTGAACTGGGCCAAGGAGTTGGCCAAAATTTTAAGAGAAGGATTTATAATTCTTGTCTGGGTCTAATGACAGGAAGGAGGAATAAACAAGGAGCTGGAGTAATTCATCAGACTAAGAGTAGTAGAAACGCTTCCGAAGGGAATGCTGGCTTAGTGAAGCAGGAGGAATCTCATCAACATGCGCCTTCTTCTGAAATTAGCTTGCCTAAGGAGTGGCCATACTAACCCAAAGTTATCTAAGGAAGCCTTTGGAGAGTAATAAAATAAGCTTGTCAACCTAAAGAATGAAATATTAGAATATAGGTGGATCTATAGGTAAAAAAAATAAAGAAATATGTCCTATTCAAGCCATATGTCCTATCTTATGGCTTGTAATAGCTGATTTTAGAATGCAACATATGCCCTGCTATTCATAAATTTAAGAGTAGAGAGCTCCTTGGTGATCCTTCTATTATATATACTTCATGACGTTGTTGGTTGATAAGTTGATATACCGCAAAAAAACGCTTCCTTGATTTCGTTTTGCTCTACGAATGTGTGCAAAAACTCTACAAATTCGGTCACATATTTACTAGATGCGAGGCCTTATTTCAGAGATAAACCTTTATGCAAAAAAGAAGTACAAAATGGTATAAACTTTAAAAAAAAAAAATCATTTTTTCAATTCGTACTTTAGAGACGCGTCTTGTGTAGACACGTAACCTCCCCATTTTGAAAAAAAGTTCAATAATACCTTCGTAGGTACATCTAATTAATAGAAGTGTACATCAACTTGTGTTGTATTGAAGAAAAAAAAATCACTTTTATATTTTATACTATATCTTATCGATAAGACATAGTAAAAAATACACTCTCCCATCCAATTTTCGTGCGACAATAATACTCATAAAGCGTTCCCCCATTTCGGCTATCCCTTGTGAGTCCCATCTTGTAGAACTATAGGTTGACTGGTATGGTAACTATCAATATCACTTGTGAGCCAATATTATATTATTTTTAAAAATTCAACCAATACTAAGGCTGTATTATATTTTTTGTACAAGATTAAAATTAGCTGGTGCCAAAGCACCAACTGACTACCAAATGGCTCCGCCACTGCTTACAATATAAGAAACACTAATCCCATCATTTATATATAAAAAAATTATTTATGTTCAAAGAAAACACTTTCACCAAGGTACAAGAATATTAAATTCTTCTTAAAAATATTTCATTAGTTTTTTTAAATAAAAAACAATTTTTAAAAAAACTTAAACATCAACATATTCATTTTTGTAAAACATTAAAATGATTATAAATAATAAGAGTTTAATAATTATTTAACATTCTTAAAAGGCTAATTCATCAACGAAAAATATTTAAAGGAATAACACTGTAGCCTAATAATATTTGAAAAAAATAAAATTTAATAATTCGTATTTTATTTGAATGAGACACTTCAAGGGAGGAACATATGTTATAGAGACTACGCTCTAGTGATTGACAATTTCGTACTCGCAATACTGACTAAAATGTGATTCTTCACCAATTTTTTTACTTAAATATCGTGCGAACAGTGTTATTTTTTAATTTGTCACGGGGCAAGTTTGCTACTCAATGTAGCGAACTCAGTTTGCTGACGTGTCACATTTCTAGTGGATAACAAGTACCAAGTTAAAAAAAATAAAGTGTGAAGTTCGCTACATTGCGTAGCAAACTTGGTTAAAATCAAGTTCGCTACCCCGTGTAATAAATTTGGTGTCTACTAAAAACGTGACACGTTAGCAAATCGAGTTCGCTACACCGGGTAACGAACTTGACTCCATGGCAGATTGAAAAATAACACTGTTCACGTGGTATTTAGATAAAAAAGTTGATAAACAGTGATATTTTGGTCACTGTTTCTCATCTACCATCCCATCCCATAAGCTAGCTTTCCCCAGCAAAGAATTCCAAAATAATAATAATAAATTAATTAAAAAAACCTTAAACTTTACAAAACATTATACTTTACAAAGTTAGAGCAGAGGTGAGAGCCTCGGATCCCAAGAATTTAGGTAATCCTTATCAATCACCCCTAATTAAATTTGATCGGTTTACTTAACCCATATATACATCAAATATAAACAAACAACCTACGATCTTCACGCATTTCTGTCAATCTATTTTTGTGTGTTTCTTTCTTTAATTTCATCATAAAAAGAACTAACACATTGCTCCGCTCCTCTCCTTCATATTCTCTCTCTCTCTCTCTCTCAATATATCATTGGGAGAGAGAACCAAGAAATCATAATGGATTCATCCCAAAATGAAAGAGGACCCCAAAAAGAATCATCACCCGACCAGTCTTCATCAAACAGGGATGCAACGCCGCCCCGGCCACAGTCACCGCCAGCGGCGGCTGCGCAGCCCCAGATGATGTATTACCAGCCGGGAATGGCCTATCCAGGTCAATATGGAGGCCAACCCCAACCCCATCATGCTTACCCGCCAGGATATGCCCCATACCCAAATGATCAATACCCTCACGGATATAATTACCCTGCAGCCCCCTACTACGGCGTTCCGGCGACCTATCCTCCCGGTGACGGAGGTAGAAGTTTCATCCGAAGCTTCATATTGTGTTCATGTATAATATTTACGTTCTTCTTCATTGCATCCCTTGCGATGGCGCTAGTGTTTCATCCCCGACTCCCTAATTATAAGGTTATTTCCCTCTCAGTGGCGAATTTCAGCACCAATCCAACCTTAACCGGTGTTTGGAACACCAGCATCATAGTAGAGAATCCCAATGACAAGCTAAAAAGTTATTTTTCCGATTTCAAGGTGGATTTCATCCACAAAGAAAATATAGTAGCGGTGAGTGGTGTACCCGATTTTGTGTTGGATGAGCACGAACAGAAACAAATGGATATAAAGGCCTCCTCAAACGACGTTGCAAATGGAATGTCGTTCCAAAAGTGGGACATGGATGAGATGGCGAAAGAACGAGACACTGGCTCCATCATGGTCGTTTTAAGGTTATCTTCCGTGGCCACGATCAAGTCTAGCACAATGTCCACAACAAGCGCAATGGTACTAGCACTTTGCGACGGCTTGAAGGTTGTGTTTCAAAATAACACCGGCACTGGCACCTTGGACGATGGGGGCAAGCCCATTAGTTGCCAACCTTATATGTAAAAAATGCAATGCCTGCGTGTTGTTTACCTTTTTTTGTTTTTGTTTTTTTTCAGTTTAATTTGGGAAACAAAGGTAAAAGGTTATCTCTCTTTCATTTTTTTTAAGGGTAACTGGAAGAAAGCTTTCCTTCAACCCTATATTTTAACGCTATTTTGCTATAGTGTTTTTTTTGTGTAGCTGGTCTCATAATAAAATTAAATTGAAATTTATGAACTTATATAAATATCAATATTCAATATATGAAAAGTTACTATCATTTACGGCCTAAGTTCTGAGTTTCGAAAACTCAGAAGATACACCTATAAAATTCAAACCCGAACATACAGCAATGCAACACACTAAACCATTGAGAACAGGCACTCTTTTTTAACAGAAAACAAAACAAGGCACGCGTGTTCCTGAATAAAATCTAATTCTAAATCCAGATTAAAGAAGAAGAAGATAAAATCGGTAGAAAGCTTTCCAGACGATCGATAATATGATGTCGCTGTAAAAGATTTCGAGCCACGTCCTTTGTTTCCCAATTTTTTTTCAAGAATTTACTTGTGACAGAGTTTGAACTCCTGATGCGAATTCTTGGAAGCTCAGTTGTCAATTGAGTTACCCTTAAAAAGTTAAGTTTATTTTATATCTTATAGTTTAGGAGAATAAAAATTTACAGATTTAAGTTGTGATAATAATTTTAAATTAATATTTTACAGCACCTAAATAATGTTTAGATTTTATTTTTTTATATAATTATTGAATTAAATTATTTTATAATTAAAGTAGTTATTCGTCAAAATCTTTTTAAGAATTTTTTAAAAAATAAATAAATCCAAACCAAACATTCATTAAAATTCTAATTATAAATGATTTTACATCTAAAATAAATTAATCCAAAAACATCTGAGAAAAAAAATTAAATTTAATAAGAAAAAATGATATATAAAATAAAATATTTTGGAAAACTGAATATTAGAACAAATGTGAGGAAAGTGCCTTTCGTTTTCGGGAGGTTTCTCCCTATTGAAAACACGGATTTTGGATTCCTAATTTAGCTACCGAAAGGTTAAATTTTTTTTCTTTTTCAAAATTGCAGTTTTGTTTTTAAATTAATATCTCGTCACAAATATATATATATATATATATATATATATATATATATATATATATATATATATGAGTTTTATAATTCTCATTTAACATGAGAATTTAAATTTTCCTACACACTTTTCGATTTTCGTGCCAATATGGGTCCTACATATAATTTTTTCTAACATATGGGTCCCACATGCTTTTTGTCTCTATAATATGAGAATTCAATTCTCATGTTGCTTGAGAAATATAAAACCCTATATATATATATATATATATATATATATATATATATATATATGCTTGGCGTGGCGCAACAAACAGGAACCTTGTCAACTAAATTAAGAAAAAGCATTAATCAGTTTCCCACTGTAAGCCCCTAAAAAATAAAGCAATTATGCTATTGAACAATATTTTTATAACATCAGCTACATGTTATTTATTTTTTAAAATATTCATTTTAATAAAAAATGTAAAACATGATAAATTGAAAATATTACCATAATTTGTATCAGTTCAATTTCTAAATCTATTTCTATAAATGAGTAAAATTCTAATTTCATCCTTGATAAATTTGAGAGTGTACACCTTAATTCTTAAGAAAAATTAAAAGAATTGAAACTTGTAGATGTTAATGACTTATATACTACGTAGCACCCATGCCGAAACGAGATGCGTGACTCGATATGATATGACAATTCGATACATTAATTTTAAAAAATATTAAATTTAATATGTTAGGACACGTTTTGATATTAAATAATATTCTTAATTTATGTAGTGTATATTATATTTAATATTCAATAATTTAACAAAAAAATGAAATTAAACTTATAATACTCATTAATTTTGTAAAAAAATATAAAATATCCTAAATATTTATATTAAACTCATAAAATAATAATCGTAATTCAATAAATCCAATAATTAAAACTAAAAATACAACATAATTTTGAAACTAATTTTTGAAAAGAGTGTGACGACACGTTAAAATTTTTGAATTGTACCACCAATATATTTTCTCTTCTTCCACGCGCCAATCAACAAAAGCCACCTTCTTTTCAATTCAACGCGCAAAATACACTATAACTCACTTCAGACTCCACACACACACTCTCTGCAACACTTCATTGTCTTGCTGATGGCGACACCTGGCCACAACAAAACGACCACTGGCTACCCGCCGCCGCATAACTCGGCCACTGGCGATTACTCTGGCGGCGCTGCCTATCCCATTGCAGTTCCTCCGCCGCCCTCCTTTTACCCGAGCATCTATGAAGAACCGAGACCCACCGGATTCTACCAGCCACCGCCTCCACCCCCCGTCATGTACTCTTTCCTCTGCCGCTTCCTGGCGGCTATTGCTGCCACCATGGCCGTCATCGCCTTGATTATCTTCATCACGTCGCTCGTCCTCGAGCCCGAACTCCCGGCGTTCCGAATCGACTCGGCATCCGTCACCTCGCTCAACACTACCGGCCCCGAACTCACGGCCAGCTTCCACATCACCCTCGTCGTTACAAACCCTAACCGCAAGCTCGCTATCTCTTACGACGCCGTTTCTGCCAGTATCTCGTACGGCGAGGATGGCGTTCTCGACTCCACTCGCCTGCCACCTTTCTTGCAAAAAACCCGGAGCGAGACCACCCTTCAAGTTCAATTCGCGGTGGTCAACGATTTTGTTGGTAACAGCGTGGCCAAAGGCATTTCCGCGGACCGGGCTCGTGGATCGGTCCAATTTGGGGTCACATTGTTGTCTTGGATTAGGTTCAAGTCTGGTATATGGCGCTGGAATGATCATCTCTTGAAGGTTGACTGCTACCCTTTGAGCTTTGTGTTTTCGCCCAACAACAGTACAGGTGCTTTAATGTTTGGTTTAATCTGTGAGTAATGTACCTGGAGTGTGCTTGTTCATCTTGTTTATGACAATCTAATAAAAGTTAATTGATATTTTTTGGGAATTAGGGTAGTTGTTATGCAGCATTCGGCTATATCACTATATTAGATCATTGTACACTAAAAGTGTGTGCTTCTCTGCTTTGTGTCTATGTTAATCCTGGGTTCTTAAAGAGCCAATGTGGTTGGTTGCCTTTACAGTATTATTTTAGAAAGCGGACTCCCCTCTTGTTGCCAACATTTTTCATCCCTAAAAGTTCAATATCAAGTGTACGATTATTAATTAAGAATGTAGGTGAAATATGTCATTCTAGCACTATTGCTAAATAGGAGGATACATATTCAACGTTTCTCAGTTAATTTTACAATACAGATGAGAGTCAGGGAAGGGAAGTGAACCGAATGCATATGCATGTCAATTATCAGGACTCAAGAGTCTAGTAAGCAAAATAGGATACAGTCTGATGGATTGGATTCTGATTTATCGTTCACGTTTTCTTCACTTTTTTTTCCTTTGGGTATGCAATAGGTAGTATTTCCTTTGGGTACTCAAGAGTCTAGTAAGCAAAATAGGATACATTCAACGCTGAATGACTTAGAATTGAGCGAACATTCTTGTTTCACTGTTTGATTCGCCTATGAATGAAATCCATTTAATCCCAGCCAATTTGTTTGTATTTTTGCTAAATGTAACCAATATAGAATAAAATCATAATTACATTCACTAATTCCAGCATGCAAGGAATGCCATTCCCACCTCTCTACAATGTACTGGCCTTTCTTGTCTCTGTTAATGTGTCAGGTACGTTGACATTAAATCCAGTCAATTTATATTTGTATTTTGGATCAGATGCGTGACAACAAACTCTCTACACTTTGGAAGTGTAGTCAAAGGTGCAAGCAACAGACTGAGTCAAGGAACCAAAACTAGTTGGACCCTATTGCTAGTTGAGGCGTTAGCTCTTCAGTGATGCACTCACCTCTGCCACCTTACTTAGACGTGCCTTTCTAGTTTAGGTGAGGCACACCTTTAACTCCTTAACTTTCAAAATATTTCAGCCATCTAACTTGCTAATTGCGATGCTAAAGGGGGTAAAATAGTTAGATGCTATAAAAATAAGTACTTGTCATTCTTTGGGACACTGAGCCACAAGCAGCTTAGGGTTTTGTAAATTGAACACTTTAATTTTTTTATTTTTACTCTGAATATTATGCTTCATAGTTAATTTATATGGAAATATAATGCAAATAGCCTAACATTTTACTGTTGTATTCTTTTTGTAATGTGCTGTCTTTTGCTATTTGCCTCAAGGCATTAAATCTCTCTAGCACTTTGGACTGGAACATCAATAAGATGTGTCAATATAAATGAGTATTCATTTAAAACCAATATAGTAAGATCTTTAAGACCTAGCAAATCTTACTGAGTAAAGAATCAAAAGGGGAAATTACTTTTGTGCTTCTCAGGTATTTTCACATAAAAGCACATTAATGGTGAAACTTTTGAATTCTGTGTTCCATTTGTTGAGAATGTATTTTCTGCTAACAACTGCACTGAGCATAGGGGAATTGTGCAATTTTTGCTGATTTTCATAATAGTCACCAGATAATGTGCAAGATTTTTTTTTTTCTTGCTAAAAATCTGGACTATAATTTCTTGACAGAGTACTAATGGACACTGCTTAGGAGTTAGGTCATATTTATCATATGTAAATATAGTCTTGAGTTGAGCTCTGAAGAAAAGTTTGGTATAACTTTCATTTGTACTGATACTGAGAATTGGTTTGACAATAGTACCAAGCCTGCTTCTCGAATTTGTCTACTTTCCTACTTGATATTTTTTTATTTCGAATCCCTGGATAGTAGTTATGCTATTGTTTGTCCAAAGCTAGCTTTTATATGATAAATTTTTAGTCAAAGCTAGTTCAAAAGAAATTCAACATGAAGTGGGATTCAACTAGTCAAATTTTGAAAGTTTCTGATAGGAATGCTGATCCGATTCCTGGAGCATTCAGCAGCAAACCCGCTCCAAAGTCTAGATGGGCCAACCTAGTGCAAGTGTTCCAGCACAAGACCAAATGAAAGCAGGATAGTTGGGCTGAGGGCTGCTGCAGTATGGATTGTGATATTTTGCTGTAGTTGGAGGTGGTTGAGTGAGGGGGGCAGAATTTTCCTTTGGCTACGTGAGTAGTAGACAAGGATACCTCCTTTGCTGGGAGCTTTAGCTCTTACTTTTCTGTAATTTCCATTTTTATCAATACAGTTCTCACAGCATTTCTTCCCGTTTTCCGTCAGTCTTCTCTAGATAGGAAAATATTCCTGTAAGTTTCCTTATTGGTCTCCCCATTTTACTCATTAATTTTTTGAAGATCCACAGAGATTTACCAGACAATATTAGATATTACACTATTTCAATATCTAATTATGACCCCAAAAAACATTAAAACCAATTCAAGTATTCAACTATATAATAATTTGTAGATCCAGGCTTGGAACCAATGTTTTAATTTGCCAATACCCGCTTTAAACAAGCAAGACTTAGGAATGCAGCTATGTCTTGATGCCTTGTTGAAGAGCAGGGTAGATGGGGGGAAAAGCAAGGAAGTTAGGATGCATTGTACTTGAATCATTGAATAGTGAGCAGTGGTAAATGGAAAGTGTAACTTTTGTCTTCTTTATGCTTGGTTGTTTTTATTCTTTCACATAAAAGCCTTGGCATCCACTGGGGAAATCCTTTGTTTCCCCTGCCATTTCAGCTTTTTGAGACTTGAAAATGAAGGAATAATTGGATTGGTGGAAGCGTGTTGGACGATTGTGGTTTAGGATGTTAACGAATCATTATAATTCATCAACACAAAGTGTATACATCTTGTAGCATAATCACGCGATCCTTCTCTTGCGATGAATCTTCTTGCTTTGAATGGCTACAAATGATCTTCTTGTAGGCAGCTGTTACGGGATAGCCAAATAGCCAGATCTTCCAAGCTATGACTCAAGAGGGGAGAGAGAAATGTGTGGGCACTATTCCTTATTTCAAAATGCAATAATGCATGACGTCTTAAGCGACTAATGTGGGTATATATAGGGATCAAACATAACCTTATATATACTTGGACCCTTCTCTTATATTAAACCCCAAAAGATTTTTAAGTAAGAAGAGCATATCTCAACAGAAAACATTTCTAAACTCTCACTTTCTGCTTTTTTTAACTAATTTTCTTAAGAAGGTTTAATGAATACTCTATCTAAGACTTACCTGAAGTTTGATTAAATTTATACAGTTTTCTAAATTCTCTATAACTTGCAGCTCATATGTTAATGCAATTGCAGCTGTAACATTGTTTTCCTCCCTGCATCCCCCTTTTCTCCTTACACACGCACAAAGTTCTTAAAAAATGCACTTATCTCCATGATGTCAGTTTCTCCGTTTTTGTGGCTTACATGATGTGTAGTTTCTGTTTCAGGTGAATAATTTAAACAACCCGCACTAGGGAAGAGCAAAAGTAATATGGTTATTAAATATCAGTAAGCCATTGTTTGATTCAGATCAGCATTGTACCGGGAACCGGTGAATATTATTTGACTCCACTTGATGATCTAATGTTATGTTGCTTGATCTGTTATTTTATTGTGAGAAAAGAAGAGGAATAAGCAGATTACGTGGTCAAGCTGTAAAAAAAGCTGGCTTGAATAAATGGGCTCTTGGCTAAGGTGACAAATTGATGAAAACTACTGTTGTTATGAAAATTCTGATAGCAGATGATATTGATGTAGTAAATTTGTATTGTGATGTAGGTTACTTAGCGTCATAGATCATATAGAATTTCATGACTGATGATTGGCTATTTGTATGAAATGGTAAATTGGAACTTCAAGCACATCTCCGTACAATATATATGAATATTGTGATTCCTGGTTCTTGTTGGTTCTGAATAAAGTGTAGGTAACTTTTAAACCATTACAGTATGAAACGGTGACACATTGTTTTGGGTCTTAATGCCAGATATTTGATGCTGATAAACAAGAAGGATCAGGGATCAGTGTTCAGTGTTCTAATCAGTTTTCATCAGTCAACTTGATTTTTGGATACTGCCAGATACATCTTCTCTCTGATTTTCCTTTAATTTGTTGTTGGCATTAATTATTTCTGGTTAATGAAATTATCATCTGACGATGGTATATATTTAATTCCCTTATGGTTAAGCAATGGAGTGTGTCTTGACAGATGTTACCAGAAGCCAACGGTTTCATTTCTGCTGGAAAATTTTTCAGGTATTTCCATCGACTGATGCATGCATAAACTATCTGTTGATGTTGAGCTGGAAAGCTTTAATGATGAGCTTGCAAAGGTCAGAGATTACTTCCCCCCCCCCCCCCCCCCTTTTATGTAAAAAATCAATTCAACCCAAAAGCTTAAGCTGTTTGTTGAGGTTATATTAATGGTTTTATATCTTTGTAACACGTCCCCTCACACAAGAGCGATGTATCAGGACCAGTCTACCCGTGTTAAGAAAGTCCATAATAATTAATTATTTTTATTAAAAGAATGGGGCGGTAAGGATTGAATTTGTGACCACTTGGTCACGGAGTTTTGATACCATGTAAAAAATAGAGAGACTAAATTAATGACTTTATATTTCTTTAACAAATTGCAGAAATGTGGATCACTTAATTCAACTCTGCCTATTCCTCCAGCATTCACTAGGTTTAATATATATATATATATATATATATATATATATATATATATATATATATATATATGAGTAAGGATATTCTAATTACCAAAAACTCTTACTACTAACTTACTACTCATCACATCATCATTGGAACAAAGAGATAGAATGTTAAAAAGTTTTTGAAGAGAGAGAAAATGTTAATCTAATGGTGATTAGATAGGTAGTAAGTTGGTAGTAGAAAATTTTGGTAGTTAGAATATCCTTCCTCTATATATATATATATATATATATATATATGAGAAAAGATATATTCACAACCAAAAAAGTTTATTACCTTTACAATCAATCTAATCACCGTTAATTTTCGTTAATCTAACAGTTATAATTTATGGAAATTAATAATTAATTAATAAATACGACCTAATAATTTTTAAAAAATTATAACTGTCAAATTGACGGAAATCAACGGTGATTAGATTAGTTGTAAATTTTTTTGATGGTAAATATATCTTTTCCCTATATATATATATATATATATATATATATATATATATATATATATATTCAATGAACTAGCAAGAAGTCCTCCATGTTGTTAATGTTGTCTGTGATCACGAAGATCTTCAAGGGTTCTGGCTACCAGTGTGTGTTTATGTTTTTTTTGGGCTGCAAGTAGCCTGAAGCTCATATGATGTTAATTGATCGCAGGGTAAAGTTTTTATGCCTGCCTAGCCAACTTCGCTTAAGATCTTGAAAATTTGATTATCCGGGCCTCGCAAATTTGGGCTTATCATGTGATAAGGCCCTGTTTGAAAGGGTTGGGTTTGGAAAGAAGCCTGACTCCAATCGTAACGATGGCTCCAGCAAGACACCGCGCTAATGGTACTGTGGTTGCCCCTCATGACGCGATGGTTTCGTATATTGCTTGGAGTGAAATTCAGCACATGGGCGACCTATTGAAAGGATGGTGCCAATGAGTTCTGTTTTCTTTAGATGAGGGTTTGAGTATCTCGAATACTTGATGAGCAAATTCATATCTTAAATTTCGCATCACTTTTTAGGGACTTCATATGAGTTGCTGCCATCAAATGCGGATCACATGCATTGGTTTGCTTATTATTGCATCAGGTAATGAGAAGAAACAAAACATAGTATCGTGGTTATTATACTTGGATCGTCTTGGTTGGGGTGTTGACTCATAAATCATCATTAGTTTTATAAGCGAGTCATTAGTTAAACTCTATATGTTTTGTGATGAATTAATAAAGAAATAAAAAAAGAGATAAATTAATTAATGAAAGCTCACAAAACTTAAAATAATTGTAAAGGACAAAAACTTAGTCCCCTAAATGGTAAAAGAGAGTGATTATATTTATTACTGAAATTTTTTACAACTTTTATTATTAAATTAATCACCGTTGATTTTTGTCAATTTAACGGTTATAATTTATTGGATATGTTTATTAATTAATTATTAATTTTTAATAAATTATAGCTATTAGATTGGAGAAAATCAATGGTAATTAATTTAGTAATAAAAGTTGCAAATTTTTTTCATAATAAGTATAACCTCCTCGTTGATAAAAAATCCAAACACCTATTTACAAAAAAAGAAAAAAGAAAAAAGATCCAAACACCTCCGTGTCTCTTTCCCCAAAAAAAGTAAAAATTAAGTCTTCACATTATAATCTAACAAGAGTAGTAGGTAAAATAAACATAAAGAAAAGATAGGTATAATAGCCTATTCTTATAAACAATCCACCAAAAGGAACTAAACATCAATAGTAAAATATTTTCATAAAATTTACCAACCAGAAAAAGCTTCAAGTTATATATATATATATATATATATATATATATATATATATATATATATATAGGGTTCATCTAATCTCATGTTGTATGAGAGAAGATTTCTTATGTTATAGACACACATGTGATGGGATTTACAAAAAAATAAAAAAAATAAAAAATAGTGTCACACTTTTCAATAGATCTATTGGAGATAAAACTACTTTTATATTACATAAGAGTAGTTTTTCCATATATATATTTTCAGAGGTAATTATGTATAGTTTTTCTTTTAAAACTTGTTTTATTAATAAAATAATTATAAAACTTGATGTCTTTAGTAAGTAATATAATGAGATGGATACCAAAAAACAATATAATGAGATTTTAATCCATTAATTATTTTATTTTGAAAAATTAAGTTGTCAAATAATACTTTACTTAAAAATTAAATTAAGACACAAATTTAAGACTGAAAAAAAAACTAACGGGCAAATAAATGAATACTACATCACTTTAAAATTAATGTCCCAATTCATAAATCTGCTACTAACGTTAATTCGGAGTATTACAAATAGGTGGACGTAGATAATTTATCAAGAGGATAGGATTTGATGTTGATCAACTTCCTTTATGAAATTTATTTATATTATCATCAAATCATGTATTACAAAATAATTAAAACAACCACTACTTAGAAAATTCTAATATTTTAATAACATATCAATACATTAATAGATGATCATATAAAAGATTTATATTGACATTAGATCAAATTTAAATTCTAGAAGACTTATCGTTACTCATAAAATAATGTTTTTATACAAAATAAATCTAATATTTGGGTATACTTTCTTAATAAATATGATTAACAACAACTTGTCTTTTTGATTTAAATTTAGAAAGTTTATATACAAAGTAAAATAAACGTTTTTTTAATTAAATTGAGCCCTGATGTAAAAATATTAATTAATAGTACGTCTATCATTATTGCTTCCTTTTCAATTGCGTTTTATATTAATATTAGTTTTGTTTGAGAGGAGTGAGAATGAGGAAACGAAACAACGTAATTGAATGAAAATCTCTTAAAATAATAGTTCTCTTTATGGTGCATATATTTTTTATTTTATCAAATTTTGGATTGATAATAAAAGTATTTATTTTGTTTCAAGCTGAACTCATCTTTTTTTGTCTGCCTTTAGTATGTCAAGATGCTCTCACGGGATTCCTTACTCAGCAAGATTTGTCTGAATAGAAATTATTGGCCAGTGGACGAATTAAAATGAAAAAAAAAAAAAAATAATAAAGAAAGAAAATGAAAAACACCAGCCACCAGGAGCCCCCCCTCCCTCTTTTTTTTAAGATTCCTTTATTATCCATTACTTGTTTCTTCTCACCTTCTTTAGTTTGGAGTTTTCAGCCTTTCTAGAATTTTCCACATCACCCAAGCTTTCAACGTCAATCCAAGCCCCCAATGATTTTCTCTCCATTTTCATATTTTCTGTGTCTTTCTCATTTGGCATGCACCATGTGCCAAGGAAGCTAACGACAATTTGATTATACAGAAATTAGAAGGAAAACCTTCTCCTGCGTACATGACCCTTGTCGTTTTGCATTTTATCATGCTCTGTGGTTTGGTGAATTTTACAAGCTAATTACACATAGTTAATTAATCTGTTAGGTTAATTTATTAAATAAAAAATACTAATGAGTGCTTCAAAGATAGTAATTAAAGAATATTTAATATTTTTACTAAACATTTTCAGTTACTTAAAAAATAATTAATACTTTTTTTATTATTTAAGTTATGGGTCCTAAAAGTCCTTCTTAGCAAATCTCAAAAGTAAAAAAGAAGGGGAGCTGGTTAAGTTTAGGAATTTTAGAAGTTCCAAGAAGATCTTGTGACGTTTTATAAGTTTAAACTGTCACCAAAAACAGAGTACAAACCTAGGGATCTGAAATCACATCCTGAATGTCAGTGCAAGTGCATGAAGCACACATTTTAAGATCTGTTTACAGTATTAACCCTAGTTAGTCTCTGGCTGGTTCAGTAGTCACCACTTGCCCATTTGGGGGGCATCCTTTGACTTCATTTTTTGTCTCTTTCCTCGTCCTCGTACTCGTACACCTTCTACGCTGAGCTGGACCACACACAAAATAGGATAGTTATTCGGCTTCACAAATGAAGACCGAACTAAAGATAATAATGTCTAATAATATATTCTCATTATAATAACAATTATTTTAAACTCTAAAATTTGTTTTAACTTTTTTATTATTTTAACATTTTTAATTATTTTTTACCTTCTGGTGTTGGCTGTAAATGAAATAAAAAAATTAATTGGGTGAACTAATAATATAGTACACATATTTTTTATATACGAGTGATTTATAAATTATACTATGTACTTCTTGAAGTACATAGTGTAACCTAGTATACTTTCGAAAACACATAATGTAACTTATAAACAAAAAATTTATAAATATAATCTTCATTTTATATATAAAATCAAGGTATTAATAACTTTTTTAATTCTGACACAACTTTTTTAATAATAATTATTTCTAAATTGAGAGAGTAGAAATTAAAGACTAGAAACACACCATAATTGAAAATTTCATAGACATGTATCCCATTTTGTTGAGATATATAAATTTATTAATGTAGCTTTACTTAACAGCTTAAATTTTTGGGTTAAATTGATTCTTTATATGATATCAAAGTCTCGTATCCTGAGTTTGAACCTCCTCACCTAACAGCTTAAACTTTTGGAATAAGACGTGTTGTTAATATTATAAAAGAAAGTTGGTGGTTAATTAATGCTAGAAGGCAAAATAACGTGTTGTTAGTATTGACCAGCTGAGAGAATCATATATACTGGCAACAATAGGATATTGTAATGTGACCAGTGACGCAGCCATTTATTAGTTGGGTGTGTCATTCGTTGGGATTAAATTTTAATAAATTGTATTTATTATATATAATTATATAATTAATTATAATTTAGTCTGAGTTAAAATTATAATTTGATCCGGGCTATAATTTATAATTTGATCTTATCTAAAACTTAAATTAATTTTGGTGAAAGATATGAGTAAGTTGTATTAAGTTATGTGTTCAGTTTTTACTTGTATAAAAAAATAAAATACTTTTTTAATAAAATTAAAAAATATTTAATAAAATTATAACTCTTCTTGGTGCTACCTGCTCAAGTGCTCTATATGTAATATAATTTAAATATATTATGATATGAGCTAACTAAAATTACGAAAAATAAACACATATATAATTTTTTGACCCGGACTCAAATTGAAGCCTAGTTCCGCCACCGAATGTGACGACATGAATGAATGGGTAATTCTTATTCTATGTTTAGGCCAAATAGGATCTAAAATTATGCATTGTGATTATGAAATGCACCAAAAAAAAGTCTGATAACATACTTACTTTCACCCATTTATTTGAGGAATTCAACTAGTGTGCTTTTGGGGTGCTCATATTCAATGTGTCATAGCCATAAGTTTTGCTCCGTCAGTTTGCTGCTTTCACTAGAGTTGCTGTACTGTCGACCGACAATTGTCTTATATAAGAAAATGGAAAAAGAAAAAATGCAAGCCAGATGGTAAGGGAATCAAACTACATGGGTCCCATCAATTGGATGACCCAGAAGAAGGCCTTTCTTAATTTTTGTATTATTGTTGTTTAGCTCCTTGACATTGACAACAAGGAACTTATTGTATGTACGAACAACATTAAGAAAGTAATTAAAAAATTAAATCATTTCATGAAGTCATAATTGGTGTAATACGCATGATATACGTCGTAAATATTTGAGCAGGTTTGGATTTATGTTCTTAATGTAATACGCATGATATATATAAGTCGCTATTTTAAATTTCAAACTTTCTTACACCAAACTAATCTTTCAAGTTTGGACTGCTAACTACTATGTGAATCGGCACGGCAATAAATTAAGTGAGTCCGTTCAAAAAAGTAATCTGAAGTTGACTAACCCACAGAGTTTGTTTACATTTGCTTCTATACTTTGAATTTCAACAAAGAAATAGGGAGTTGCTTCTTAATTAATTTAGTGTACAGGAGAGAGACTCAGTGAACAAATACCACTGGTGAGTTGTGAACTGGTCTATTCCTTACTCTATACGGTGAGCCTACGTAAAATAGTAAATTAAAGGCATATGCTTTTGCTTGTAAATATATCAATTGGAGACAGAGTAGGAGTAGTTAGAGTGTCAACTAATGAAAGCGACGCAATATTGACAAAGATGTAATATTGTACGCAGGCATTTCTACATTTTTTTTTTTATCAATTTCTGAATAATCAAAACTCGCTTGTAATATGGATTTGAGATTAATTTGAACTTAGCCAAAAATATATAGAATCGTTTACGCCCTAAAACAAATCCAAAAAAGAAAGAAAGAAATACTTGGTTACACTTAAAAGAAAATTAGTCAATTTTAAATTACGTTCCCTTGATGAAATGCTAAAATATTAGTGGTTCAAGCAACATGTGCTGTATTGGTTAGTCTATGCAGAATTCTCTCTTTAATAATAGTTTGACAAAAATATCAAAGCATCTTATATTATAATATATATCATTAATTATAAGCACCAAATCCTAAAATAATTTATATATTTTTTTAATTTCACGGTGTGCCAGTAAGTTGTTGTGTTGTTGCATTTCTTACCATAGACCGTCTTCAAGAAATTACTTCTAATTCAATCATTTGAATATTTCACATAGCAGGCTGAAAACTAATAAAAATAAAGTTTCTTTGTGTGGTTTGGATGGATTTTTTTAAAAGCAATAAAAAGTGATGAACTTGGCGACCCCAACCAATTTATGTGTCTTTTCTGCTTTGGTTTGTTTGCATTTTTTTTCAGTTTACCCGCAGTGATGAACTTTGTGACCCCAACTTTCTGCTTTGGTTTGTTTGCATTCTTTTCAGTTTACACGCAATTCATAAAACCATAGCAATTTGTGTTTGCCCCACAATACATATAGTTTCCTTAATGGAAATGGAAATTGATTTCTTTCTTTGCAGGAGTGTGATTCATTGATTCGCATTAGACGATAGGTATTAGGCTTTAGATTGGGCCTTGGTCCTACCAAGCCTATTCTCAAACCCCATTAAGAAAAACCAAAAGATGGTCGGTGTGGCTGAGCTGGCAGCTTTTCTGTCATGATAGTAATGCCCAGTATATGCACGAAACGTGTCGCTAGGATGTTCTTTTCCCAAATCAGACATCCATTGTGATGAAGCAACTCAAACCGATGATCAACTTTGCTGATTTTTTTCTTTTCTTCCCGAAGCTTGATACATGGAAAGGAAAAGAAGGTAGTCATGAATGATATTTTAGATAGTAATATAAATCATTAAAAAACAGTTTAATTTTTTTGATTGAAATTGTTCTTTACATGATATCAAAACTGACGCGACTAAGTAGTTATGAGTTTGATCATTATCGTCCCCCTTCTAATATTTAAATGTTATGAAATTTTTTAGCATATGAAGGTCGGACCTCATACATCATCCACCCATCAAACCAAATGAACTTTTGTGTGAGGGTGTATATAACTAAACAATATGAACCATTAAAAAAAATCGCACCCAATAACTTAAGTTTTTTACATTTGAAATTATTCATTACATAGTGGTTGTTAAATTCAATTTGTTGTTTAAGAAAACTAGCTAATGAAATGTTTTTCATTTTTTATTTTTTTAATGTTTCTACTATATGGAATTATAGAGAACATTAAAAGAATGATAATATTTTAAGTATTTTGATTAAGGGTAATTTAATTAAGAAAATATAATTATATTATTGTAATTGAGAAATATTTAATAATATTTAATTTTTTATGTAAATATATACTTTAAACAATAAATATTTTAAGGGAAGGGATCCACCATCACCAATTAAGTTTACTATTTCTTACCATCAAATCTTATCCGTTGATTTCCGTTAATCTGATAGTTATAATTTAATAGATGACACTTATTAATTAATTATTAATTTTTAATAAATTATAACTGTCAAATTACCGAAAATCAACGATTAAAATTTGGTGATAAAATTTTTTAAACTTAATTGATGATAATAAGTATATCATGCCCCATATTTTAAAAGGTAAGATTATTTTGTAGTCAATTTAAGCAATTGCTCATATCTTTGCATTTTTCTCTTTTTTTAAGTTTGATTATTTTGTAGTCAGTTTACCTTTGTTGACTTGGCAAGCATGAAGATTAATAAAATCGATGCCGTTTTAAAAATGGATAGTAATATCAAATATTACAAGTTGGCGTAGAACCTGCACATTCACGATCGTTTAGGAATTTTGTATAGAAGCCTTCAATTTAATAATATCTATCTAGTTACTCCAATTAAAAAAAAACAGTAATAAAGTTGTATCAAACATGACTGTGAGAAACTAGATAGAATCACCAAAGTTTAGTATAAAAGTGAAATAAAAACGAGATTTTTAATTACTATTGCACATGTACATGTCTGGATTAATATTGATCACGTTCTTTTCTTGGTTTGAGTGAATTAATAGAAAATTTTCACAAATTTTTGAAAGAGAATTGTTATTCATCACGAAATAAGTACTACGAATTTTTTCACGAAACATATCGCACTACTGAGGAGTTGTTTCACTTTTTTATTATTCGAAATATTCATGCACCCGTATTGAAGGGAGTACGAGATTGAGCTGTAAATTAGAAAGAAATTATACTATAATTGTAGGATGTTATAATTGCAGATTGTATTTGGCTAAGAAGAAGAAAATGTTAGAATATCTTTTGTATAATATTAGGATTAAACCTCAAAATAGTTTTTTTTTTTTTTTGGTAACATACCTTAAAATAGTTTAGCTAATTATGCCATATGATCTCTTAGAATAATTTCCCTATTTTATTAAATTTGATGATTTATTTTCTTATTTTAAGTTTCCTAATTAGTATAAAATGAAATTAGTATTTTGTTTTTTGTATCATATATCACCTCAAATATTTTTTATTTTCTTTATTTCCCCCCTTCTTTTATAGTCAAATCTCAACAATTTCAACAAAAAAACATAACTTAAAACAAATAGCATTACTTGCATTCAACCTATATAAAGCAACAAAATCATAGAGGAAAGTTGGAAGGGATTGTTTAGTACAAGTCAAGGATTCAAATAAATCAAGGAACAGAAGATTTTGGAAGACATGAGAGTCAGCTGTTAAGAGAGACCTTATTTTAGTGAGGAATAGAAGCATTAGTCAGTTTCAGCAAATTAGCCTTTCCATTAATACTCATCCAATATAAGAATACTCTATTACCATGCAACATGATCATATCATATCTTTTCAAATACAGTAATTTTTTTCCACCCCACCATTTCAGTGAAACTAATCCTTTCATCTAGTTTAAAGTTGCTTCATCTATATAATTTTCAAATCTCAAATAATATGCTCCTTTATCACAATCCACTTATCAGTTGTGCCCACCCTAGAGGTTAGTAACTTTTGTCTATATAAATAAATTAAGATGATAAACACACCAACAATCCACAAAATCGTCCATCCCACGGCACATAGCATAGCCCCTTTGCTTCTCTTCCCATTCTCTCATTTCTTTTATAGCTTTAGCTAACTCCACTCTTAAATAAACCTCCATCTTTTCCTATACACTCTCTCCCTTTCTCTCTTTGCATTTAAAAAAAAAAAAAAAAAACTACCCCTCACTCCGCCAGGTACCACCGTGACCATGGGGGAGAAGGTGTGCGACCACCACAAAAGCAAGAAGCACAAAATCTTCCGGCGCCTCTTCTGGGGCATCGTGATCTTCCTATTCATCGTGCTCGTAACGATTCTGATCATCTGGGCAGTCCTGAAGCCCACCAAACCAACCTTCGTTCTCCAAGACGTCACCATTTACGCCTTCAACGCCACCGTCCCCAACTTACTCACGTCCAACTTTCAGGTAACCGTCAACTCCCGCAACCCCAACTGCAACATCGGAATCTACTACGACAGTCTTGACACCTACGTCACCTACCGGAGCCAGCAAATCACCTACCGCACCGCCATCCCTCCGTCGTACCAGGGCCACAAGGAAGAGGATGTGTGGTCCCCTTTTGTCTACGGCACCAACGTTCCCGTTGCTCCTTTCAACTTCGTTGGGCTCAGCCAGGACCAGTCCAACGGCAACGTCCTCGTCATCATCAAGATCGACGGCAAGGTCCGGTGGAAGGTCGGTGCCTTCATCTCCGGCCATTACAACATCAATATCCGGTGCCCGGCGTTCATCCCGTTCGGCACCCAGCAGAGCAACGGGATTGCCGTCGGCAATAACGCCGTTAAGTATCAAATGGTTCAGCAGTGCACCGTCGGCGTTTGATTTAACTTCAGTCAACGCCGTTGAGTAACAACTTAGCTTTGTTGAAGATATATAATTGTGTAGCCCTGCTTGCTCTGCTCTTCTCTGCTTCTCGGTATTACTACATTTAGTGTTTACATAATTAGCTCTTTCTCATTTCATTTTTTGTATACGCGCGTATTCTTCATTTCTTCTACGTGTATCTCCACCTTTGTTACGGTATTTGGAATTGTACATTTTGCTATAAAATAAAAATTCACTTGGAGGAACATCCGAAGGAGGCAGAGATATAGCAAAATTACAATTTGTAAACGATAATAAAATTATTGTTTGGATTTAAAAAAAAAAATGAGTCTCTCATGATTGAAGCATCCTGTTCCATTTACTTTCTTCTTCTTTCTAAGAATATTCATATATGATTCGCGTTTTATTTGGCTTAATGATCTCTCACCTTTTGGTTTCTCTTTTCCTGGTTATGTATGTGTATTATTTCCTTGTCTATATGTTCCGCGGCCTGTTTTATTATATGATCAATAATGAAGTGTGTATTTATATAATTCCAAAATTAAATATGTAAATAGTTGGACCACTTTTCTTTTCTTCAAATTTTTCGTTTAGGGATTATTCATCTCGGGGATTAACTACACCCATATTCCACACTAGATGTATATTTTATTAAATAACACGCACCTCCCCCGAATAAAAATGCAAACCAAACCAATTATGCATTTCTCTAATTAAATTAGCTCGGATTTAGATGTTAAGGTCAATGATTAGAGTTTGTTTACATTCCTTCCACATGGCATGGCGGTGGTGGCGGTATTGTAGTGGTCCTTTTCAGCCTTCACCTACCTTTGCCTATTAATTATGCGTTTACGTCATGCCTACAAATGGCTGCCCCTTGTGTTCATCTATGTATATTCTCTATTCAGACCAGAGCTTGGACAACCCAACAGAACACATGCATGCTTAGCATAATTTAGTTTGAAAATATTTGGTATTGAGCACCGTCAGGATTGTGCAAATAAAAGGAACCTTCTTTGATTAGTCAACAATCAAAACCTGCCACCATGTGCATGTGATAGGATATACCACTTTGATGACGACCCACGACGCTCCATACGATCCTCATTAAGCACTCTGAATTTAGGCCCCCCATAATAGGAACGTTACGCGTTTATTATTGTATTTTGCTTGATTCATATAGAACACAATAATCAATCACATGCTCTCTCCCTCTCTCTCTTACCATTTATGACTTGACTAGAGTTTGATCTCTCTCTGCTTCTTCTTTCTTTATCTTATATTAGTCTTTCACAATTTTTTACAAGACGATATCTTTCTCCTCTTTTTTGGGGTAAGTAATAAGTGTGAAATATCTTAAATATGGCTTATAAAATTGGTATCACAAAGAATATGATTTTTAGATTTAAAGTTTATAAAGTTACTTTATATAACTTTTTCTAATTTTCATCAAAATACACACATAAAAGTGTTGGGGATTCATATATATTTTTTTTTTCTCTTCTCTTCACATGGGTTCAAATGGACTCCGCACATTTTTGTGTATGTGCATTTTGGTGAACATTAGATAAAATTTTCTAAAGTAACTTTAAAAATTTTAAATCCTTTACATACTGATAAATTACATTAGACAAGGACATTTTGTTCTATTCAATTTCTGTCCAATTCGTGTGAAAAGATGTGATATTTGAATCTAAAATTTGATAACTGAATTTAGGATTGCTTTTGTGAATTATATTCATAAACAATTTGATACGCTTAAAAAATCTTGATGCAACACTATTTTATTTTGTTTTGGAAATTAATAGAACAGTATAATTGCTAACAAAAGAATAGTATACATGCTTACATATTAAAATAAAAAAGTATTAGCATGAATACCAAAAATATTACAACATTTTATAAATTTATTTGTATAATTTCTTAACTAACTTTAAGGGGAGAGGTTATGGGTGAGGTTACATAACATATCACTATGAATATATATATCAAAGAATAAATAATACATGTATACCGCAAATAAAACTTATATTTCTATAGGTGATGGATTTAAGGGAATAGCCGGCACCTCATGATTTGAGAAAATTTGTTAACATTATTAATGAATAATTAGGTGAATACAATTTCTCAATGTTAATTTGTGTTTTGTCTTTACATGTGAGACTAATTAAAGTTCGGTTATTCCTTTTTATAAAAGACTATATAAAATCGACATTAGTGTGTATATTTTGGAAGGCAGATAGGTTTGAAACTTTTTTTTTATTTTATTTTATTTTATTTAAACTGTTTGAAGTTTTTTTTTATTTGCTATAATTTCTTAGCACAAAAACTTAAAAATAATATTTATCTATTTTCCTCATCAAACTTTCAATCCTGCATCCATCCCTGATTTCAACTTCATAAAGTATTTGCAAATATTGGCTCCCAGTGCTTACTATGTGACAACTGTAAGCCGAATAATCTAAAAACATTTAAAAGCTCATTTTATTATATTTGATCTCTTCCGCACACATCATTAAGCCCAAAAGAAATTCTAGTACACAAATGAATCGAGGTTAGAATGTTTTTTTTTTTTTTTGTCGGAAGAACATCCCCTCGGCCCTCATAAACAAATGAATTGAAAGAATGGCTGTACAAACTAGGCCTATGGATGGCCCGGCTTGATTCGGTATAATTGAAACATGGGCCTGCCCATTGTAGTTACAAATTAATTTGTCTTAGTTTTCTTTCCGTTGTAGGTATGGGCCAGTTTCGAATTATCTTGATCCAATTTGCAGATATATCTTAATATATAGAAAGGAGAACCAAACTTTGGAAAATTTGCTGATGTGTCGCTCTCTCCTTCATTCTCAGCTTTATGTTCACACTGGAGGATAGTTTGAAAAGTTACTTCTTTTGGAAAAACAATTTATTTCGTAAATAAAAAATTCTAAAAAGGAGGGAGAGTCTCTAAAATTATAAAATATTTGCAGACAACTGTATTAATGACCTTCTCAATTCAAAATTCAAAATTTAAATTTGAAATGGGTGGGAAGAATAATTCAAAATATATAGTGGAAGACACATGTATTAATGATCCACTACTTTTTGTATGGGTAGGTGAAAAAGTATTAATATCTCATTACTTTTTGCATTGGTAGGTGGAAAAGTATTCAAATTCAAAATTTAAACTTAAAGGTGGGAAAAGAGGTCATCATTAATATCCCACTATTTTCTGCATAGGTAATTGTTAAGCAATTGGGCTTAATTATTAAAATACAAAATTATTTACAAAAAAAAAAAAAAAAAATACAAAATTATTTTGTGTATAAATAGGATACATGTTGTTGTATATTTTCATTTGGTAATTAACTTTTGTGCATATGTTTCTTCTCTTCTCTATCTATTTATCTTCTTCATCTTATCAAGTTGTTCTTCTATTAGATGAATATGTAATATTTTTCATTTTTTTTGTAACACTATTGTAGAGTAAAGCTGACAGGATGATTTGGAATCACTAGAATATGTATTTCTTTACTTCCTAAGAGGAAGGTATGACATTCTTCTCTATCTTTTTTTCTTCTACAGGTATTTTTTTCCATGACACAATATCATGAACGAGATGATATAATAAAATATCCTTACTTTTAAATGATTAAAAATTTATGTTTAGCCTTGGGCACCATCTCAAAATTTAACACGGTGAAAATTTATCTTTTATCTTAAAGTCCTTATGTTTTCTATCTTTAATACCTGCAAGAGAAAGATGAGTTTTTCCTTCTATTTTTTCTGTCCATACATAATTTATTTCTCACTATTGTTGTTGTTCTTTAATTTATTTTTGTTCTTGACAGATATGTTTACCGCGATGGTGGAAGTGATGAGTTTGATGTGAATGATACTACTTCGATCTCATAAAACCATAATCTATTTCTTCAAAGGATGTTCGAAGTGTGCCCGATGCTAGACCAATGCAACCCAACAACATAGTTTCAAATGGTGATTTAGAAGAAGACAAAATAGAATAAGCTAGAATATTGCTCTAATTTTATACTTTTGTTGCTAGAATTTTGTTCTCACATGTTTGTCTTGAATAAGCTATATATTTTTTAATATTCCTTGAACCAATAATTATTATAGTTGTTACATGTATTAGTCTATTAATCATTGAAATCCTCCAAATTTAACTCAACAAAAATGAGGAGCCATTCAAATATTAATTCCTTTGTTTTGATTTCAAAAAATAAATAAAATTTAATAAAATAAATTTATAATAAAACACATACAAGCAAAAAAACGTTTCATATAATACATGTAACAAGGAGCACCATGTCTTGATCATTATGCTTTAGGAAATAAGGAGCCACCATGTCATTAAATTTTTTGAGTGTCTTTATTTTTTTTTCATAAGATTATGCATTAAAAAATTTATATGGAAATTAACAGACGTTGTTAAATGGATATTCATGTTAATTAAATTACTACAATGAAAAAGGACAAGCCACCAATGGATTGTCATCTTAATAACGTTTCATATACAAAAAGTAATCATGCATAATCATAGTCATCAAAAAATGGTTCGTAAAGCGTATTATGGTTTATTATTATTATTACGATTATGGAATAGCAAGATTTTTTGTTTCGTTTTACAACTAACAGTATTTGAAAAGGCAAACTCAAGCAATCTATCCATTCGTTTTTATCATAATATCCCCTCAAACTTTCAAGACATTGCATTGGACAAGTATTTAGATGGCATAGTTAAAAATATTACCTAATTTATTAACAAAAAAAAAATATATTACCTAATTAAAATGAAACATTATTTAGTAGAACTATTTTTTTTAACAAAGAAATATAAGAATGCAATAATATATGAAATCTTCATCCAAACTTTGGCAACTTTGATGACGTGTCACTCTCTCCTTTATTCTTAGGTTTGTGTTCAAACTTGGATGAATTTGAAATGTTTCTTCTTTTGAAAATTTTTAAAATTCGAAATTTCAAATTGGTGGGTGGGAAGAATAGTTCAAAATATATAGTGGAAGACACATGTATTAATGATCCACTATTTTCTGCATGGGTAAGTGGAAAAATATTAATATCCCATTACTTTTTGCATTGGTAGGTGGAAAAGTATTCAAATTCAAAATTTAAACTTAAAGGTGGGAAAAGAGGTCATCATTAATATCCCACTACTTTCTGCATAGGTAATTGTTAACCCTATTAATATTTCACTATTGGGCTTAATTATTAAAAGACGAAATTATTTTGTGTATAAATAGAATATGTGTTACTGGATCTTTTCATTTGGTAATTAATATACAAAAATAAACGTTTTAAACTTATATGTATAATCAATATACAAAAATAAAAGTTATAGAAAAGATAAAAATAATTAATTTTTCAAAAAATATGTATCCTTAATACAAAAGAATTCAAATTTTAAATTTTAAACTTAGGTAATAAAAATGACAACTATCATTCTATAGAAAATAAATTATAAATTTAATCATTAAAAAAATAATGACCATTCAGTGAGGAGTGCCAGTGACAAACTAACTTATGCATCATAAAAGGATATGTGCTATTAAGTATTTAATATTTAAAATTTAAACTTTTCAAATTTGAATTTTGAAACTTTACGACTCGGAAAATAGTTCAGCATTTAATGTTTCAGCGGTAGGAAAAAGGTTTATATAAAAAATTTAAAATAAAATAAAATTATAGATTCAAAAAATAAATATTTAAAATTAAAAAAATATATGTATAGTTGATAAAAAACAATTTAAATGCAAAAAAATAAATAAATGACAAATTTATACTTTAAAAGAAAATAAATTAAAATTTTAATTTAAAAAATTAATAGTAAAAGAGAACATTTTTTCGTACAAGTATTTTTTTAAAATCATATTTAATATAAAAGTTTTAAATACATATGAATAACCAATTCAAAATAATATAAAAATTATAAATAAGTATAACCAAAAAATTGAATATATATACTGAAAACTAAAGTAAAATAACGCTTATAATTATATTTAATTATTTTAAATTATATGTGACTTTAAATAACACATATTTTTTCATTATATTTTTATTACAAATATAATGAAAAAATATGGACAATGAAAATAAAATAATTTAAACAAAAAATAAAAAATGGCATTTATCATTCTGTAAAAAAATAATAATAAAATTTAATCAGTATGACAATATGAGTTTTAATTTAATATATAAGAAAGAAATTAAACTTTTATTCTTTTGATGTAAGAGTAAAAAAAAACACAATTTTCTATGTCGTAATGAAAACTAGAAATTATTACTTGGAGAATGTGCACATGCTTCTATGCATGTTTTCCACTACTTTCTGTATGAAAAATTATTAAACCTATTAATAATATTAATTATTATGTTTATTGGGTGGAAATTATTTATTATTTAAAATTCAAATTTTTTAAACTTGAATTTTGAACTTTATAAGTGAAAAAATAGTTCAGCATTTAAAGTTTTTGTAATGGGAAAAAGATATATATATAAGAAATTTTAATTTTAATATGAAATTATAGATTAAACAAAAAATATAAGGATGCTGATAGTTAAAAGTTGCAAATTGGGTTTGGCCCAAAGGGCTTGCCCGCCCCGCCCTCCAACACGTTTTTATAATTAAATTAAAATTTCATTAGTCTTTTTTTTATAATTAAATTCCTAATTCAGATTCCAATTTTTGTAAATACAAATTTATAAAATTTCAAATAATAACGACACAAATCATTGCAAAAAAATAATTTATTATTATTTTGTAATTCTAATTGTAATAATTGAAAGTTCATCTCTCAGATAAAATATAAAAACCTAGACGCAACTATAAGAGCCTTTTTGTGTGGATAATATAAAAACTTATTACATGCTAATAGTTAGAGGTGGCAAACTGGGCTCGGCCCGAAGGGCCGACCCACCAACACATTTTTATAACTAAATTAAAATTTCATCCTTATTCTTTGATAATTAAATTCCTAAATCTGATTTTGAATTTTATAAATACAAATTTGTAAAATTTCAAAAACGAACGACACAAATACTTGCAAAAAATAATTATTTTTTAAATATGATTGTAATAAATGAAAGTCCATCTCTGAGATAAAATATAAAAATCTAAATGTGACGATAAGAATTTTTTTTGTGGATAAATATAAAAATCTATTGCATGCTGATAATTAGAGATGGCAAACTGGGCTCGGCCCGAAGGGCCGGCCTACCAACACATTTTTATATTTAAATTAAAGTTTTATCCTTCTTCTTTTATAATTAAATTCCTAAATCTGATTTTAATTTTTGTAAATACAAATTTGTAAAATTCGAAATACTAATGACACAAATCCTTGCAAAAAAATAATTATTCACATAAAACGGTGATAGTTAAAGGTTGCAAACTGGGTTGGCCCAGAGGGCCTGCACGCCCCGCCTGCCAACACGTTGTAATTATTAAGTTAAAATTTCAGTATTCTTCTTTTATAATTAAATTTCTAATTCTGATTTCAATTTTTGTAAATAGAAATTTATAAAATTCCAAATAGTAACTACACAAATTCTTACAAAAAAATAATTATTTATTATTATTTTGTAAATCTAATTGTAATAAATGAAAGTTCATCTCTGAGATATAAAATCCTAGACGCAATTATAAGAGCATTTTTTGTAAATAAGTATAAAAATCTTTTACATGCTAATAGTTATAGGTTGCAAACTGGGCTCGGTCCAGAGGGCCGGCCTACCAAATATTTTTATAATTAAATTAAAATTTCATCCTTCTTCTTTTATAATTAAATTCCTAAATTTGATTTTAATTTTTGTGAATACAAATTTTTAGAATTTCAAATACAAACGACGCAAATCCTTGCAAAAAATAATTATTTGTTATTCTTTTTAAATCTGATTTTAATAAATGAAAGTCTATCTCTCAGATAAAATATAAAAACTTAGATGCAAATATAAGAACTTTTTCATGTGGATAAATATAAAAATTTATTACATGCTGGTATATAATGCTGACAATTAGAGGTTGAAAAGTGGAGTTGGTCCGGAGGACTGGCCTGCCTATATTTTTTTGTAATTAAATTAAAATTTTGCTCTTCTTCTTTTATATTAAACATAATAACTCAAAAATTTGCCAACTCTATATGTACAAAAAGTTGGAGTTAGGTAGCTAATAATATTGATTTAAATAAAATGCAGAAATATATTTTTATGATTTGCATTAACTTTTACGAGACAGACAAACATATTTCTTTTTTTTTTTCCATGCATCGCACGAGTTATACTTAATTTTGAAGGAGTTTTTTTTATGTAGGGTGCTGATTTAGAACATCATCCAAGAAAACTTAACGTTCTTAATGAAAAATCCATGTTATTTAAGGTCAATGTAAAAAAAATAATTTGGAGTCATATAATGAGCCAAGATATCATGTTTCAAGTGTTTGAAGCAGCGAAGCTATTGTCACCTCATTCTTTAAGTCTTTGGTGGACCCAAATGTATGTTGTTATTTTTTAAAAATTTATCATCGTGGATTCTTTATATTGTTACAAGTTTTTAGCATGTGTATTGATTTGATGATGTTTAGACACATTTGGTCCAATGTAAGCATAAAATACGACTCATACATGGCCATTTGGTTAATTTGCTTTCAAATCCCTTTCCGACAACGTTTTTTAGGTTCTAAAAAAAATAACCCATTTTTTTGCTGAGATTATTACTTCTGGGTGTTAACATATTATCGTAATTTATTTAATGAGCATTTACATTTTGTATCGTAGGCACATATGATGGTAGAAGAGGATGTCCCTGGTAATGCATAAACATAGGAAATCACATGTTTGGTATGTGTTGAACTCATCCCTCCAATGATTGTTACAGAATGACACTGAATTAATAGCGTTTTCTTATTATAGGTACAAACTGATATTTTAATTCCATATTTGCTTGGTATCTTTGTTACCTTGATTTTATTAGTGGCTGTTATAGTTAGCAATAAGTTGTATGCATTTTTCTTTTTTTAATCATCCTCATTTTAACATAGTCTACTATGGCGTATTTATTTTTTACATAACTCATCGAGTAGATAACATATTTGATTTGCATAATATTGATCACTCTGGACAGCAGATTTTTGTTTATAGTTGACATTTGCAAAGTTCTGTGTCAATGCTGTAGTTTTTTTCACCTGAAATATAAAACAAGATAACAACACAGGTTTTTGTAAGTATAAGGTTTGCAGTGCGATTAACCAACCACGGCGGCCGACAAATATTTTGTTCTTTTTCCCTCGGGCATCGCATATCTCCTTCAATTGTTGACCATTTGTCTTTTAGCCTAATCGGATTGCCAACAAGCGAAGCCATAGTTATGAAGTTTTACCTCTGAAAAAAATTATTAATTTAGTAATTTAGAACTATATTTATCAATTTAGTCTTTACAATTTATATTACTTTATTAATATGAATTTAAGAGCGTTAACCTTAAAATTTTAGTTATAATAATAAAGATGATATATCATGTTCAACACAACCAATTTTATTTATCTTTTAACATTACATAAAAAAAAAATTTAAAAGTTTTTGTACAAGAAAATCGCATTTTTAAAAAATAAATAAATATCAATGAGTATATTAATATAATTACTTAAATGGAAAGATTGTACCCATATGATCAGGACGGATAAGGGGTGAGCATGGGCGAATTTTCTTCCATACTAATGTTTCTTCGTAGTTGTTTCGGACTGGGGAAACTCGTTTCTACAATGTACTTCAAACTTTGCACCGGTCAACTCAATCCGCTATTGATTGTTTCCTTTCACAAGTGAAAATTGAATTTTTCAAATATCCAACACGCACACGTATTCACAACCGCGTTGTTGCCATGGAATCTTCAATGTCTTTCCTTTCTATATAAACACACCACTCCCTTCTCTCTCATCTCACAATTCACTAGCTTCTTTCCAATAAGTCCTCTATTATAATTCACAACTTCTCTTCATCTCTTTGTCTCTTCTTTTAATTTATTCTTTTATTACATCACATATCTGTGGTTCATTCATTCAACTGCAAGCATGGCCGATAAGCAACCCCAGTTGAACGGTGCCTATTACGGGCCTGCCATTCCACCGGCGGAGCAACACCGATACCGTCATCACCGCGGCAGAAGCTGTTGTTGCTGCCTCTTCGGCTTCTTCTGGAAGCTTCTCATTGCCCTCATCGTCCTCGCTGGCCTAGCAATCCTCATCTTCTGGCTGGTCGTTCAACCACGTTCTTTCAAGTTCTACGTCACTGAAGCCAAGCTAACCCAATTTGACTACTCCAACAACACCCTACGTTACAACATGGTGCTCAACTTCACCGCCCGCAACCCCAACAAAAAGCTCAGCATTTACTACGACAAAGTGGAGGCCCTGGCATTCTACGAGGGATCTAGGTTTGCTAATTCCGATGTGATCACGCACATGAATTCATTCCGCCAGTACAAGAAGAGCACGAACCCCATGAGTGCTGTTTTCTCAGGTCAGCCATTGTTGCTGCTTGACAATGATCAGGTATCTGATTTCAACCAAGACAAGAGTGCTGGCGTTTATGACATCTATGTCAAACTCTACTTCAGGATTAGGTTCAGGCTCGGCGACGTGATAACTGGAACCAAGAAGCCCAAAGCCAAATGTGAGCTCAAGGTTCCATTAAGTTCTAATTCCGCCACAATCCTCACTCCCTTTGAGCCCGTCAAGTGTGATGTTGATTTCTAGGGTATACCTGATATGATATCGGCGATTGGTTTTGGAAATTTCTTCCTTTACCCCATTATTTTAGTAATTCTTGTGACTATTTGTTTGACCCTTGTTATTATTTAATTCATTCTTTGACCATATGTACTATATGTGTATACGTTTCCATGCAATAAATCTTATTTTTTTGAGTACTATTGGATTGCCTGTTGGTATCAATTTAAGGTCTACATTGCAAATTACATATGTCTCTTTGTGTTTTTTTATTGCTCGCGATTTATTTTTCAGTTCTCCAGTCTATATTAATAATATAATTATCAATTCAAGCATAACATATTCAATTTGTTATAAAGTTGATGAAACTTTAATATGGAATGACTTTGGTTTAATATTCATATTTAACTTTTAGACAGTTAGAAAGTTTATTGTTTTATTTAATTAAAATAACCATATACGAATTGAAAAGCTAACTCCACTTATATTTTTATATTTGTAAAGACATGATTAAATTGAATAATATTTTCAAAGAATAACACACAAGATTGGCGGTGTGATGAAAAGAGAAAAAAGAACAAGAGAGTAATCCATTTTAAGGCAAGCTTGTTGTGAGTTTAAACAAAAACTACGCTACTAATGATACTTTTAAATCACTAATTAGTAAAAAACAAAAGGACTGCTGATATTGAAAATTAAATCTCATCAAAATTTAGGGGTGTCAAAACGGGTTGACACGACACGCATTTGACACGACACGAATACATCAACACGAACACAACACGAATTTTTATTCATGTCAAAATCTTCAACACTAACACGACACGAATTTTTTGCGGGTTGACACGACACGACACGAATAACACGCAAAACAGGGGTCAAAACGGTAATTGACAAAAAATTTTAAAAAAATAGGTCAAAATTAAAAAAATTTAAAATAATAAAAATAATAATAAAATAAAAATAAAAATAAAAATAAAATAATTATAAAAAGTATGAATCAACATCCACACAAACACGAACACGAATATATCAATACGAACACGACACGAATTTTTTACGTGTCATTTTTTCCAATACGAATACGATACAATTTTTTTTTTGCGGGTCAACCCGAACATGAATTTTCGTGTCGTGTCGCTGGTCGATCCGCGTGTCATAACCTATATTGACACCCTACTCATCATTATATATATAAAATAAAAAGTTACTTAGACAACTGACCTCATTGGGAATTACAGAATAGAAGTAGAAAAAATTACTTCAAAATGGAAGAGGTTATAGTTATTACTTTTTTTTTTCTTAATAACTCTTATTACTAAATCTTAACCGTTGATTTCCGTCAATCTAACGGTTATAATTTATCAAAAATTAATAATTAATTAATAAGTATGACCTAATAAATTATAACCGTTAGATTGACGGAAATCAACGATTAAGATTTAGTAGTAAGAGATAGTAAAAAAAAAAAGGTAGTAACTATAACCTCTTCTGTTAAAAATATATAAATTTAATTAGTTGGTTTATTATTAAATAGAAACTAAAGGAAGTTTCTGCGAACCAGCACTCAGGACGCACAATTTAGGATGCACACGCGAAATCGCATAAACGCATCGTATATATGAAAAGGCAACGACCTTTTGAAATGATCTACTCCGCACCTGCACAAGCTTTTATTTAATAGTTTTTGTCTAACCAGTTAATTTTGTAGACAATTACGCGCTTATCTAATTAATTCTTCTATCCCGTAAACTCGTTCATCACTCATCAGCTTAATCAGCCATGTATGAGAAACAACCCAAGTTCAACACTCATTCATCTTACTCTTTCCCATCACCCACATCCTTCAACCATTTCCGAAACCGATTCAACTGCCTCCGAAACCTGTCACCGATATCTGTCTTCATCAGACTCGTCTTCAAACCCATCCTCGCCATGGTCATCGTCATGGGCGTCGCGGTCTTCCTCTTCTGGCTCATCGTCCACCCTAACGAGGTCAAGTTTCACGTGACTGATGCATCCCTCACCCAATTCAACTACACCGTGGACACCCTCCACTACGACCTGGCTCTCGAAATCAGCGTCCGCAACCCTAACAAGAGGATTGGTGTCTACTACGACAACTTTAGAGTCTGGGCATTGTGCCAGGACGCACGGTTCGACTCGGAGATCGTGCAACCGTTCTATCAGGGACACAAGACCACCAACATGTTGAACCCTGTCTTCAAGGGTCAGCAGGTGATAGCCCTTGGTGTTGACCAGATTTCGGAACTAAATAGGGAGAAGAGCTTGAAGGTTTACGAGATCGATGTGAAGTTGTATTTGTGGGTGAGGTACGAGATGGGAACGTTTAAGACCACCTCGACCGCGTCGTGGGTTAGCTGTCACTTGCACGTTCCATTAACTTCACGAGATGGAAACTCGCCGGCCGCCGGTGGCTTTGAGACTACCAAATGCAATTGGGATCATGGATGGATTGCCAGTTTCTATCACACAATTCCTTCTAATGTGCACAGTGGAGGGTGTCTACGGTGGTGTAGTTGAATTGGGTGAGGGAATGGATGCATCAGTCACGTGAAACTTGACCTCATGAGAGAAACTGATGCAGTTGGTTTGTTAGTGAATCAGTTAGCCTTCTGTTTATAATTTCTTAAATTAGTTTCTCTTGTATCCAAGTTAGTTTACGTAGTTAGAAGCTTAGTTGTTGAAGTTCTTGTTTCTGGGTCCATGTATATATATAGGCTCAACACTTCTGTAGTAACGATCAGTTTTTGCAAATAATGAATTCTCTCAAATTTGAGAGTTTCCTACATGGTTAATATAAAGTTTCTAAAGCAAATAAAATATAATTAAAAAGAAATACATGAGTTACTTTGATAGTAAAAAAAAAATCATATACAAGAATAAAATTGTGACTTTAAATAAAGTCGATTTAAGTTTTTTTCTTTTCTTTTTCACGTATTCTCCTGTGAATAGGATTTGGTTATGACCATAAATAAATCCAGGGGTTTGATTTTCTCATGTTGAATGAGAATTCAATTCTCATGTTGTAGAGATAAAAAGCATGTGAGACCCATGTGTTAGAAAAAATTATATGTGGGACCCATGTCAGCACGAAAATCGAAGAGTGTGTAGGAAAATTTGAATTCTCATGTTGAATGAGAATTATAAAACCCATAAATTTATACAATAAATATATTAAAGTATTTTTATCTTCTTTTATCTTTCTTTTTTCTTTACTTTCAATTTCTTCTTTCTTTTCTTTTAGTTTATTATTTCCTGAGTTAATTAGCACATGCATTTATACAATAAGAGAAGGGTGCAGCTCTCATCATCCAGCCTCTAACTTGGTCTTGCGCATAAGGAATATGCTGGATTGGAATTGGAGGGTTTGAATTTCCCATATTCATAGGGAAGGGAATGGGGTTGCCTATTGGATGGCCTCTTTTGCCTACTCCTTTGATTGGTCTTTACAAGAGTTTGACTCGCCTCCTTCTGGTTGTCGTGACAAACTTGAAAGGGACTATGTAGGAGTAGTTTGGTCTATGAAGTGTTCCTAGTTTCTTTTTTTTTGTTTTTCTGTTTCCTGTTTGCTTTTCAAAAAAAAAAGAGCTAAATCAATCAAGAAGACTAAAAATTCCAAAACAGTTTTTTATTTAAAAATAATAACTATATGAATTGAAAAATTAACTCAGCTTATGTCATTATATTTTTAAAGACATGGTTTTAATGAATGATTTTCATAAACAAGAACATTAATAAAGATTTGTGGTCAATTTGACGGGAAAAAAAGAGGAGTATTCAATTTTAGGGTATATAATTTTTCATGTTACATAAAATAATTTATCTCATGCAACATATAAAAAAGTGGGTGAAACTCACCAAGGAGAAGAGAGAAAAAGAAAACAAGTGAACCCCATCAACTTTTTTGTGTGTTGCATGAAATAATTTCATGTAATATGAGAAACTATATTCCCTCGATTTTAATGCCAAACATGTTGAAAGTTTAAACAAAAACTACTAATGATACTTATAAACCACTTACTAAAAAAAAATATTGCTGATATTGAAAAATAAATTGATTCATTATTTTAAATAGAAAAAGTTACTTATATAACTGCCTCGATCTATTGGGCAATATTCACATATAATAAATCAAAAAATTGAAATTGAACCTTTTGGTATGCAACATATACTAATTCAATTAGTTGGCCAATTATTAACGTCGCATTATTGGTTTGACGAATTTAATTATGGAGATTTTTTTGATATTTTTGTGTCATAAAATGTATATTACTTTGAGGTAGGTAATTCATATTATCACTTTTTTCTACTACCCATCAATTACCTCTCTAATCATCGTTGGATCAAAATTTTCAGCAAAAAATGGGCTGAAAAAGTTGCTAAATTTTTTTATCCAACGGTGATTAGAGTGATAATAGATTGATAGTTGAAAAAAGTGATGATATGAATAGCCTACCTCTATTAATTTAGCTTTTAAGTTATTATCATTTTTACTTTAATTATATTTTTATATTATAAATAATATGATTAAATGATCATGCAAAATAAGAGAAAATTTTATTCTATCAAAACGTAAGAAAGAATATAAATACATGGGGTTCGTTTTTTCTAAAGTTACTTTAGATAACTTTCTCTAATCTTCACCGAAAAACGTCGTTTTGGGACGAAAATCATTGTGTGTTTATAATTTTAAATTATTTTAGGGTTATAATAATTTTTGTTATTCTAATTTTTTAATTTTTCAACCCAAAACAACGTCGTTTTGGTGAACATTAGACAAAGTTATTTGAAGTAACATTAGATATAATTTTTTCAAATATATATAATGTAAAATATTAATTCAACCCAAAAGTTTAAGTTATTGGGTGATGATACATTAATGATTTCATATATCTCTAACACGTACTCTCACAAGAGAGTCCATTAAACTTGAAAGGTGAATGATGCATCAAGCTCAGCCTACCTACGCTAAGAAAATAAAAAATAAAATAAATAAAATAAAGGTCGGTGAGGATCGAACCTTGGACACCAAGGCTCTGGTAGCATGTATAAAGAACAAATTCAACAAAAAGGTTTAAGTTATTGAGTGAGACTACATTAATATTTTTATCAGAAAAATATTTCTGCAGTTAATGCAAATAAGTTATCTGCATTTACTTCCAAAACAACGTCGTTTTGGGATTGAAAGATTATAAAATTATAATTATAAAGACTATAATAACCCTGAAATAAATTAAAATTACAAAAATACCATGATTTCTGCCCAAAGTGACGTCGTATTGAACTTATTGCAAATAACTTATCTGAAGTTAAAGAAAACAAACCCTATTTTTATATATCTAAGATATAATATGTATGAAGTATTGAAAAAAGATTTAAAAATAATGGGAGGTTGGGAAACATGAAAAGGAGAGCGTGGAAGAGTCAATGCCTTATGAAGTTGGGAGTTGGAAGTTTCAACGAATCAGCACTGTGGACGCACAAGCCGAAAACGCATAAAAACATCGTATAATAAGCAACCGCGTCTTGAAATCGAACTACTCCGCACCCCGCACAAGTGTATTTATTTAACACTTGTTGACGCAATCCTTTCCCCAGTTAATTTTGTTGACTTTCACGCGCATTTCCAATTATTTGACCCCACACTCGGTGGTTATAAAACCACTAAATACGATGAGGGTTTGTACTCTCATCTCATACAACACTACCACTTTGTTTTCTCTGTTGATTATTGTCTTGTCGTTGCATCACTCATCAGCCATGTATGAGAAACAACCCCAGTTGAACGGAGCCTACTACGGCCCCTCCATCCCGCCACAAAAATCATACCACCGCCCAAGTCGTGGCGGCGGCTGCGACTGCTGCTGCGGCTGCATCTTCAACCTCATCTTCAAACTCATCCTCACCGTCGTCTTCATCGTGGGAATAGCGGTCTTCCTCTTCTGGCTCATCGTCCGTCCCAACGTGGTGAAGGTTCACGTCACCGATGCTTCGCTCAGCCAATTCAACTACACCGGGGACACCCTCAACTACGACCTTGCTCTCAACATCACCGTACGCAACCCCAACAAGAGGCTCGGTATTTACTACGACTACATCGAAGCGCGTGCATTGTTCCAGGACGCAAGGTTCGACTCGGATTTCCTTGACCCGTTCTATCAGGGGCACAAAACCACCAACGTGTTAAACCCTGTCTTCAAGGGTCAGCAGGTCATAGCCCTCAACGCTGACCAGACTTCAGAACTAAACAAGGAAAAAAACTCGGGGGTTTACGTTATCGATGTGAAGCTGTATCTGAGGGTTAGATTCAAGTTGGGTGTGTTTAAGACCAAGACGCTGAAACCTAAGATTAGCTGTGACTTGCAAATTCCTTCATCGCCTGCCGCCGGTATCTTTCAGACCACCAAGTGCGACTGGGATCGCTGATGGATTTGGATCCATTAGATCATCCGATCCTATTCTATTTCGTCGTCTTCTTCTTGTTTTTCTTTTGTGGGATTTCATATGATATTTGTTCATTGGTTAGACTTTTGGAGTTTCGGACATAGTCATATACTATATACTCCTTGAGGGTCTTTCAGGGATTTTATTGCACCATTTATGCATTTGTATGTATCTATATTCTCCGATTCCATTAGGTGGAGGGGATTTTCGGTTTATTATTTATATATCTTACTTGTTTTTTTTTTTTTTTGTTAATAAATAAATATGGTTTTCCCTCTATATTTTGTAAATTAGTTTCCCAAGTACTTGCCTGTGATTGCGACGTCGATATAAACTTATTAACTTACTTGTGGTAGACTTTATGAATAGTTTTATTAGACATCAAGTAACGCGTTATGTCTGTATGTATCCAAACAAAAAAGTAATTCAGTATATATTTTATATATAATCGCTAAATCATATTAAACGGATACATTTTTTAACAGATAATGCTAAATCATATTTAATTTTTCTATAATTCATGTAAATATTACCGTAATTTGTGTCGGAAAGAAAAACTGCAATTTAAGCTCAACAATACTATTATGATATGAAATAATAAATTACAATTTTATTACACTTAAGGAGATTTTTGCACAACTTTTTTCTCATTACCTATTTATCTTTCTTTTTTTTCATCATCATTAATATATGGCTTACTAGCACATTACATGCATTCAACATTTATTGAAGAGACTTAGAGTCATTTTTACTCACTCATTTTTCACCCATTTAAATAGCGATAATATAATTTATTTATATCGCTTTACTAATATATACAAATGATAGGTAAATACGAATTCTTCCCAATTGAAAAACAACCGCTTACATGACTTTTTTCTTTCATGATTTTGTAATAATGTTGACTTTTGGAAAGGTGGACAAAACCTCTTCTTTGCTCCCAAAGATGGAATAAATCTTTGGTACTATTGTTATACCTAGATTCACTGCATCCCATCAATGAGAACATTACATATCACAGGAGAGAGAAAATATTTGACAGAAAAAAAATTAATTGACATGTAATATTCTCATTGGTGGGATACACTGAATCTTTGGTACAGCAGTAGTACCAAGATTTATTTCAAATGATGAGTTTTTCTGCCGATAAGTGTAACTGTACCATTGAATTTATGTGGGATTTATATTATAATCGATGGGACCTACATCATTTTATTTTTAAATTTTTTATAAAGAATGATTTTTTCTCAGGAGCATACAAAAACTTCTAATGGTGGTGATGGTGACTGACCGTGTCAATGGTCTTACTCTAATCTATCATGTGTTAGGTTAATTGTAGTTGGTTATCGCATATTTCAATTAATAATTAGATCTTTGGTTTGGTAGTTTGGGTGACTGCCTCAGGTTTTCGTTTCTGTTGAAAACTTCAAAACTACGAATCATAATGACTTAAGCAGATTGCATACTTACGCTAACTGAGATGCTCCTTAAATATATATAAAATTGAAGTTTGAACAGTTAATCAAAAATTCCATATTCTTGTAGTGTTGTGTTTTTCCTTTTCTTTTCTTTTTTCCCGGATTAGAGTATCTTATTATTTCGTGGTAATTAAATTGTTACTTAACATTTTGTTAGACAGTTACTATGCCGCAAACTTGCCATGGGTATTTGAGGATGGATTAATTGTTCCAACTTTATTTATCTAAATCCCTATCAGAAAAGTGATCAGAACTGAGAAGGCAATTTTGTAAGCTGTGAATACAAAATATTTACAACGAGTAAGGTTTAGATCCTTTGGCATCACTTTAAGGAGGCAATATGTAGTGGTCCCCGTGCAATGCACTGCCACTGAGAGAGAAAGGAGGAGAGAGGAGAAAGAGAGGAAGAAGGGGGAGAGAGAAGGGGAGTAGGGAATTATTTTTCCACTTTAAGAGGTATTTGGACTTATAATAAGCTACAATGTTATTTTTACTTTTAAAAAAATGAAGTTAAGTCCATAAAATTATTGTAAAAAGGAGTAAACTTTCATATTGATACTTCAAAAATTCACATTTTATCAATTTCTTCTTCTAAAACAAATATGTAAAATTAATAGTCTTTCAATATTTTTATATTAGAATAATCTTTTTCAAGGACGAATTTAATCAAAAAAACTTGCATTAAAAATCATTCTTATATATTTATTATTTGAGAATTAAATTAATGGGGCTTATATATTTGAAAAATCAAAATAAATATATACTCTACAAAAAATTGCTTGAGCATGGTCCATTTATAAAGCTTTGTTCAGAAAAACTTAAGTATTTCCTTTCCTTAGGTTGAGCGGTTGATCGATTCCATGTTTTTGGGGTATACAAGCTTGTCGAGTGAAATTTTTAAGCACGGGAGAGCTGGCTTTTGGATCCCGAGACTCACTCTTTATGTTTAATATTAAGGATAATTCTATGATAAATTATAGAAATACAATGCATTAATAAATGTCCATTTTTGGTTCATACACAAGATAAATATATGGTATGCGCGGACCTTATAGGCCAAATAATCACCGATTGAGAGGTTTTGATCGCACACACCAGACCCACATGCCATAAAATAATCATCACCGGACCACCTACGAAAGAGGGGAATACTCGTATGCTTTTGGGAGAATACTTTTTCTTCCTCCGAAAAAATATTCACTCTTTTAGATTTTATTTTGCAGGTCTCGGTGTATCCAGGCCTTCTTGTAAATTCAACGGTTAAAACTTTATTGAAGGAAGAAAAAATCTGCTGATGAGAGTGGAAATTAAAGGTTAGGTTACAAAATAACTTTTATTCTTGGGACATGAAGAAACAAGTATTCACCCTTATTATGAGAACAAAAATCAAGTAAAACAAACAAACAAAAGTTACATTCTAAAAAATCAATAATGTTGAGAATATTTTTTTAAAGCTTAAACCAAATATGAGAATGTAATATTCCCCAATTCACTTTATAAAAATATATAGCAGTATATGTGTTATGGACCCATATAAGGAGCTCATTAAGTGATAGGCCTAACAAGGGGCAATTCAAGATCTGAATCAATAATAATCATGGATAGATATCCATCAAGAATACTCATCCTAATACGACAGCATAACAAGCAGGCGTGGGCCCTTATCAGAGGCACAAAAGGCCTATCCACAATACCCACAGGTAACCTCTATTAGGGGTGTTCATCAATCGATCCAAACCGATTCAAACCGCGGTGACCGAACTGAAAAACCTATAACCGAATAAACCAAAAACCGAAAAACCGAGAACCGAAAAAAAACCGCAAATTTTAATTGGATTGGATCGGTTTTCGGATGGGTTGATGAAAACCGATCCAATTCAAACCAATCCAATATATTAATTTTCCTTTACCTACTTGGGTCTTTCTCCAATCATAGCCCAAAAATTTCTAAACCCAAGACCCATTAACCCATCAACTAAACCCAAGAAAAAACCTAGTAACATCTCATCAACAAAATTTCATCTGTGTAGAGCTTCATATTTCATTTCCGAAAAAAAAAATTATATTTATCGTTTGCTGATGCTTTTGTATTTCAAAAAATAATAATTTACAAAGCCTATTATACAAAACATGTTATTTGCACAATAACCATGAAACAAATTTAAGGATTTTCAAAAAATCAAAAACCGATCCAATCCAAACCGAAAAAATTGGATTGGATCGGATCGGATTTGAAAAAAAATTCAAACCAAAAAGATGATTACATGATCAAACCGAAAGAATTGGATCAGATGATTTTTGTTTCTAAAACCGATCCAATCCAGACCGCGAACACCCCTAACCTCTATAAATACAAGGTAAATCCTAAAGGTACGTACGTTCTCTCTCTTACTGTTATGCTGTCACTGTACGCACACACACCCCATTGCCTAACGTCGTTATAGTATTCTGTGCACAGTGATCTGCTTGACTCAAGGGTATCTCCTTCATAGATACCACGAAAAGGGCACCAGATCCAAGAGAAATATACCAGCCTATTGGGCTGGACATCTCTGTCCCAAGGACAGAACAATAATTAGTTGCATGTCTTTGTCTTTGTCTCCGCTTTCTCTTTTTATTCTATGTCTTACTGTATTGGGTAACCTAATTAATGTAACATTTGTAACAGTGACCTAATTAATGTAACATTTGTAACAGTGACCTAATTAATGTAACATTTGTAAAAAAAATTTGTCAAAATACCACGCAAACAGTACTTTTGACCAGACTGTCACATGTCCAAGTTCCCTACCGATCATAGTGAACTTGGTTAGGCCACGTGACACGTTCACCATAGCGTACAAAGTTCGTTACCAATGGTAGCAAACTAAGTGCAGTAAATCTGTTTCTTGCAAAGTGTGCACGTGTCACGAAATCATAAACAACGAAGTTCGCTACCACTAATAGCGAACTTGATACGCTGATAGGAACGTGTCACGTGACCTAACCAAATTAGCTATGACTAGTAGTGAACTTGAATGGGTAGCAATCTGATAAAAAGTATTGTTCATATTGCATTTGAAATTTTGTTTGGAAAAGCGTGTCATTTAGCTCACTATTCCTAAATATTACATCAGAATTATATCCTAATCATATTTTTGTCAACTCTTCCTTTTTTTTAAAAAAAAATTACGCTCATGTATACTCAGTTGTATCAAAGGCCCGATAAAGAAAATAAGAACCCACAATGGCACTTTGTTCAGAGACCGAAAACGGTTGGACTATAGGCCCACTCAAAGCAGTACCGACTTTTTGGGTTGTGATATGACAGCTGTTAGTTATAACTTTTAGGAGGAATAAATAAAATATCTATTTATATTTTAAATTTTTTAAAAGGAAAGAAAAAATAAGATATTTGATTTAAAATGAAAAATCCTAGAAATGTTGGGTCAACTTTAGTTTTTCAGTGTGTTACTTCAAGTTTTATGGGTGATTCTTCCTTGTGGTTTTTTACTTGTTACTTCAACTTTAATATTATAATTATGTAATTCTCATAGTACATAGTTATAACGGTTAAAAAAACACAATCTTGTGTCCTTTAAGAAGACACACACAAAACCCTAATTGTATATCTAAAGCGTGTCATGGTCCACTAATACTATCATCATAGGCAGAAACTTTCCACTCCAAGAAAGTTTGTCTATAAGGGGCCGTTTGGTATACAGATTTTTCCCGGATTTTCGGGAAACTGAAATTTTTAAAAAAATTTAAATTTTCAGATATTATCATAAACTGAATGTAAAAATTATATTTTTGAAAATCGAGATTTCCGGACAAATAAAAATTTCTCCTGTACCAAACTCCCCAGGAAACTTGAGATTAA